TTCAAGTCATCCTTAGTAATATACTGCAGGCTGCTTACATCTATTACATGTTTCCACAGGTGAAGCAATAGGGTAATTGAGTCACCTGTAATTTTGAGGTATTTAATTAGCTGGACTTGAAATTAGGAAAGCCTGAGCTATAATCTTGCCCCGGACCCTTAGTAGCCCTGTGACCCTGGGCAAGTCACTTGACCTCTCTCAGCCTCAGTTTCCTCATCCATAAAAAGGGGATAACACCTGTCTTCCTGACATGTGAAGATTAAGTGAGACAATACATGAAAAGCAAATCTTAAATTTTTATATATACAAAACTATATATTTTATATATATACATTATATATAGTGTTCTATTAGTGTTATTGATTCTTGTGATGGTCTGTGATTTGCAGTCACAACAGCATGCTACTCATAGTGTCTTAAGCAATTATATGTGAATATAACATTTTAAAATGTTTATTAAAGTTACCTTCTTGGAAGTATGAGGCTTAATATTCTTCAGAATATTTATGTGTAGGCTAAAACGTTTTCATTACTTTGTTTAGATACCAATCTTTGTTTTACCATCTGGTGATAGTAATACGCCTTATGGTATAAAACAAGTAGAAATTTTGATTACAGTAGGGATGAAACCAAAGAAAACAACTGTTCACAGTTGGTTGCCTCAACATTATATGAACCATTTAGCTGTCAACTTTTCTCCATATGTCCACTGTTTATCAAGTAAGAAGGAAAAAGATAATGCAGTTTCATCTATCATGTTTCTTTTTAATTCAAAATGTTCTTTACTTTTAATATTCAGGTCATGGCATTTTACTGGTATTTCTGATATTTAAGTGTACAACATGAGTCATTATGTGATTTGTTCCATGGTAAATTGAATCACTGCTTCAAATTATATCAGTCCCTTAAAATTGACCCTGTATGTTGAAATTTATCCTTAACTGAAGGGATTTTGAAGTATGCAGAAGTGTCCCAAGTTTTAAATATTTAAAGTACTCTTATAGCTTGATGTCCCTAATTCTGAAATAGTACTCTAGTAGATATGCTCTTTAACATTCCCAACACAAGCAGTATGTCATTTTCTGTGACAACATTACTGAGGGCGTAAGCCCTATACATCACAGATCAAGATAAGTCCAACCAACCTCTCACATTCTTTGTACATAGGTTACAGACATATGTAGAGAATGGTTTTCAGTTCTTGCTAGCTGTTTAGCCTAGTCTAAGAGAAGATACACCATGTACACAGGCTTCAATAGCATCCTAAAGTGGAAAAAATATCCTATTAGAGCAAACTTCTCATTTTTGTAACATTTAATTAAACGAATTAGATCCTTCAAAGCATATTAACAGTTGAATTAAATTTGCCAATAAATTTAGTCCTTTAGTTGGCTTGTGCCATCAAAGTTAAAGTCACATAGACTTCCCTTTGTTTACAATAAGATCGTTGATAATTCCTTATAGCAGAAAAATCAAAGACTCCTTGATTGCCTAGTATGGGAAAAATGTGTATAGTTAAAATGGATAGAGGTACTTGGGAATATTCTAAGCAGGGCTTCAATCTGCTTTACCTTTAGAATAACTCTTAGACTTTGGAGCTGGAAGTGACCTTAAACATTCTACTCTTGAGGTAACTTGCCTGAGCTTCTAGAGGTAGTAAAATAGGAGGAGGGAAAACTCAAGTGTTTTGACTCTGAGCCTAGCGCATTTTCTCTCCTTTCTTTTAATTATATCCAGCAATCATTCTCAACTGTGAGGTTTCCCCCTTCCCCTGTATCTGCCTCCCCTACCCCCACCTTTTAATTATATTGACTTTTTTAAGTAAAAGCTATCGGTTATCAGAGAGGGACATGAAATGGGAACAAGAGGCTTGGGTTCTAAGAGTAATAGCTGCATTTATATAACACAGTGCTGTGAGGTATATAATAATGCAAATATTGTCACCAGTCAGTTACAGATGGAGCTCATAGATTGTGACTTGTCCGTCCGTGGTCATGTAGCTTGTAAATGGTAGTGTTGGGATTTGTACCCAAGGTCTAATGGGTCCTTGGGTCTAAGGATCCTATATCCAGCATTCTTTTGAAACAGCTGATTTATAAATTTATAAGAAATAATTTGAAAAGTTGAAACTGGGCACTCTGGAGTTTATCTTGCTTTTTTGTCTTCACCCTCTCCAGAATTTTTTTTTCCTTATGCTTACTGCCCTTTCTTGGTTTATGGGTCTGCTCCATAAGAGCAGACTCTTTTTCATCTGGCATTTAAGTAATTTATTTCTAGATAAATTTTCTACCAGCTAGTACAAAGGATGATTATAGTTCACCTTTTTCTGGAAGGATAGGCTTTGTTTCCTTCATTCTTTTTCATTTGAAAGGATAATAAGCAGGAGTTTTGCTTTTTGAACTCACTAATAAAAGTGGATATACATGAATGCTGTGTCTTCTGGTCTGTGCAGTAATATTACTCTAGATTTCTTTAAAATCTATGGATTTCAACAGTATTAGTATTGAAAGAGAAAAGTAGTTGATGCATCCATAGTACAGGCAGTTGGAAAGCAGGTAGAATACACGAGGCATAAGGAACAAGTTAGGAAATGAAAAACCACCTTTTTTATGAGCTTTTATTTCTGATATCCTATTCATACCATGCTTGCTTTAGAAATGCTCCTATTATGTGTGTCATATAGGTTAATGGCCAGTTTATCCTCATTTTTTTAAAAAATAAATTTACTACTGAAGGGAAAGGTACATGACATACTCCTCATCTGAAGAACAGAGCAATATCCTTTTTACCAAACGTCCACAGCACAGAAAGGCAAAGGGTTGTGGGGTGGAGATTAGAATCTAATTATTGAAGCCTCGGGGCAGCTAGGTGGCGCAGTGGGTAGAGCTCTGGCCCTGGATTCAGGAGGACCTGAGTTCAAATGTGGCCTCAGACATGTAACACTTACTAGCTGTGTGACCTTTGGCAAGTCACTTAATCCCATTGCCTAGCCAAAAGAACCAAAACAAAATAATTATTGAAACCTCAACATAAATTGAGTAATCATAGTAATCAGTAGGAGCCTTGAGATCCAGACCTCCAGTAGTAAGGGACATTGCATAGTAATCGAATGTTGAAATTCTTTTCTTTCTCATCCCAGTAACACATAGGGGAAAAAAGACTAAGGGATTGGAACCTCAAGTCTTGATTTGTATGTACTGAGCCTGCTGTCTTTGTTTTTGGTTGATGACTTTCTCTGCCAAAGTCAAACTTAAGTATTTGCTATGTGCCAGACAGTATGCTAAGCACTTTAAAATTATTTTATCATTTGATCCTCATGAACAGCCCTTCGAGGTTGGTGCTATTATTATCCCTATTTTACAGTTTAGGAAACTGAAGCAGACAGATTAAGTGACTTTTCCAGGGTCACACAGGTAGTAAATTTTTTTTTTTTGGCTAGGCAGTGGGGTTAAGTGACTTGCCCAGGGTCACACAGCTAGTGAGTGTTATGTGTCTGAGGCCAGATATGAACTCAGGTGCTCCTGACTCCAGGGCCAGCGCTCTATCCACTGTGCTACCTACCTCCCCCTAGGTAGTAAATATCTTGACCACATTTGAACTCAGGTCTTCTGACTCCAGGCCTAGCACTCTATATCCAATGTGCCACCTCACTGCCTATTTGAAAAGGCTTTGCTCTAAAGCAAAGAGCAGTTCTCAAAGTGAGAACTACCTGCATGGAATTTCTTGAATTATTTTTACCTTTCCAAAATTCAGCTGGGCAATTTTTTTTTAATCTAGCCTTTGGAAGGCAACAGAGAGAGAGGCACTCTTAGCTGAATTCTCAGTGTTTTGGAAAGAAGATTATGAAGTATATATAGAACTGTGCTGCACAACTCCACCTGGATATTTTGCTGGTATTTCAAACTCTTAAGACCCTTCCTCAGTTGCCAAATCCAGAATATCTTTTGTATTTAGCCCTTTATTTTTATATGTATTAAAATCTTCCTACTTCAGGATTTTTCTCCTCAAACACCAGTGTACCCTGATCCATTCATATTTTACCCTGAGTAAATTTTCCTGAGTGATTTTCCAATGGCCATAATAAACCTTCAGTATTTCTCAAATAAAGCTCCAGATCTTGACGTGATCTACTTTAAAGTTATCTTTCTGTTCTTTTTGTGCAATTACGTATTCTGAATTCCAGCAAAACTGGATGTGCTTCTTATTCTGCTCTTTGTTTTTCCCATCTCTTTTCTTGGAATGGTTACCCCTCCACCCCCACCAAAAAAAAAAATCATTCTCTTAAAAAAAAGGCAAAATTCGAGTGTCACCAACTCTGTGGAAGCCTTCTTGCTCAATCTTTCCCACCCCTAGCTGAAAGTGATAGCCATCTTCAAGTTTCTCATAGCATATTACCTGGACCTTCCATTGATAGCGAACTACACTCTCATTTGTACTAGAATTATTTGTCTTTTCCCCCCATATTAGAACGTAAGCTCCTTTAGGGCAGGGTCTGTGTCTTTCTTTGATACTCTTGCCCATAGTAATTAGATACTGAATAAACACTAGTTAAACTGAACTGAGTAGTGTTTTTAAATAAAATATTCCTGTGATGTATGTATGTACGTATGTGTAACTTGACTGTACAAAAATTAAATTGATTTGGTTGTAGAAATAAGATGTCTCTTTTGCAATTTAACCTTATGGTATACAGTTTTAAAATACTATTTGGTATGTATAAAATTCAAAGCTACATTTTTCTTTAATATGTTCTCAGCAGTCTTTCATTTGCATTTTAAGAAACAGATTTGTTAGAATGACTATTAAAAATACTTTTGAGAATATGTTTATGGTCTTTTGGAGTCAGGGGATATATTTTGTCAGCATTGTCGTAGTGGTTTATTACCTAAGGAGCATTTAGATTTCTTTGATGTAGACCTGGCTGGAAGCGGTATTATGGCTTTACCTTTATTACACTTATAGAAGTGTTCATTAAAAGACTGTCCTATTTGGTTACCTAGACAAGAGAAGAAAGGAAAATGGAAGCTATTCTGCAAGCTTTTGCCAGACTTGAGAAGAGAGAGAAAAGAAGGGAACAAGCTTTGGAACGAATCAGCACAGCAAAAACAGAAATTAAAACAGAATGTAAAGATACACAGACTGTCAATGATGCTGAAGTTGTTCAGGTATATATTACTTCAGTTTAATTTTCAGTTTGTTTTATGACTTCACCTTGCAGTTAAATTTTAAGAATTTTGATTTGCCTTAAAAAGAAAAACAATTAAAATCAGACACCCTTAGTTATATTCAATAGCACCAGGTAGTTCTATGTTAAATGGTCAGAACCAAAAGATAATAGATGCAGATATATATCATTTTGTTTCTATGATGAATATTGTATTTCCTTTTTTATCTAAATTATTATGTCTGCATTCATAAAGATTATAATCATAGCCTGCTTTTTGTATTTATTGCAAATGGTTTTGTCTACCTATATAACGTAGTAGAAAAATAATGTTTGTTTTCCATAATGCCATATGCATAATGCAATACACATAATGCCAAAAATGCCAATTATGGTTTATATCTTAATAGGAAACAACAAAGGAAGAAGCTGCCAGCAAGCCTACCCCTGCCAAAGTAAATAGAGCTAAGCAGAGAAAAAGCTTTTCTCGTAGTAGAACTCACATTGGACAGCAACGCCGGCGACACAGAACTGTCAGCATGTGTTCAGATATCCAGCCATCTTCTCCTGATGTAGAAGTTACTTCACAACCAAATGAAACCGAGAATACTGCACTTGCAGCAGAGCCTGAAACTGAAACTGCCATAGCAGAAATAGTTACTGAAGCTGAAGTTCCAGCACTTAATAAATGTCCTACAAAGTATCCCAAAACAAAAAAGGTACAATTTGCTTTAAAAAAAGAACAAGAAACATAATTATAGCAATTAAAATTTGTTTTCTTACAAATCAGTAGTTAATAATGTTCCTGTTCCCCTCATGTTTTAAGTGAATTTTTTTTCTATTTGGATATTGCTACTTCATCTTTTACTTGGAATCATTATACATCATTGAAATAAATTATTAGGTATACAGGTTAATATGAACATTTTCCCCATCCCAGATAAGTAATAAAACAGCTTTTCAAGATCAGGTATCTCACTTTTAAACAAGAAAAAGGTTGATGTTTCTGAAGCCCATTAATACAAATATTACATATTCAAAAAAAGATTATTTTTGTATCCTTTGAATTTGTGTCACCTTATAAATGAGGATAACAAAAATTGTGATTGACAGACCCACTTAAGGGAAGCTGTAAACTAAGCTGTTTTTAAAAAACCATTATCCATAAGAATCTAATATTATTTACAACTTTAATAAAATATTTGCAAGGTTGTATTTTTACTAGGTCTAAAATTCTGGTCATAATTGATTGCTCCATTTAAGACTGGGAAAATAGCTAAGAACCATTTTAATGTATTTTGGAAGAACACAGTAGCATAATATTTTTCTCAATCACTTCTTAAACTACATTTTAATATAAGTATTGTAGAAATACAAGTACTTTTTCTGGATTTCTCACCTTTGGGGATTTTGTATGGCCTAAATTCTGTCATGTAGGTTGAGATTTGTTTCGGAGAAGATAAGCATCCAAAGAAATCTGTAAGTTAGTATACAGTGAACATTAAATAAGCTTACTGAATGTATTGGGAGGTAATGATTAGATTATTGGAGAAAAGAAAGTTATGTGAAGGAAAATTTGGAAATCTTTTTTCTTCTAGAGTAGTAAAAATTAGATAAAATATTAGCATAGTATTTATCTTAAAAATTTTTTAATTTACATTTGTGGTATTTAAAAACAGTTTATGAGAAAATAAGCTTTAAATGAAGCCACCCTCCCCCTAATTTTTAACTATAGCAACATAATGAAAATTCCATTTCCACATCAAGCTACAGCTTAAATAGAACGTATATATTTTAGCTCATAATTCTTGTAATATGTTAAACTGTTTCTGGGAAAAATCTGTTTGCTAATGCAGTATGTTTCCATTTCAGTGTTGTAAGAAAGTGGAATGAACAACTGATTATCTTAGTTTAATGATTATATTTAGCTTTGGGTCTAAAGTTTCATTTTTTTTAGTATAATATTTTAGTTACTAAAGCAACTTAGACTTCTGAAATTCCAGACACCTTTCCTTATTCATCTTTTTCTTTTATTTAGCACTTAGTCAATGAATGGTTAAGTGAGAAGAGCGAGAAGACAGGAAAATCTTCAGAGAGCCTTTCAGAAAGGCCTCTTCGAATAACTACAGATCCAGAAGTATTGGCTACACAACTCAACTCTTTACCGGGCCTTACTTACAGCCCCCATGTGTATTCTACTCCCAAGCACTATATTAGATTTACTTCACCATTCCTTTCAGAAAAAAGGAGAAGAAAAGAACCTACTGAAAATAGCTCTGGCTCATGCAAAAAGGTAAACTTTTCTTGGCATTAGCAATATTGGAATAAACAGTGTTCCATTCTGGTGCTTTTGCAGTTTGCTCCACAGTACAGACTATATTAACTGTGGCCTTTTGTTATTTTAGCGATGGTTGAAGCAAGCATTAGAAGAAGAAAATTCAGCAGTTATAGATAAATTTAGTTCATTATGCCAAGAAAGATCTAGAAGCCCTGCTGTCAATGGTGAAAATAAAAGTCCACTGTTACTCAGTGATAGCTGTTCACTTCCAGGTAAAGATATTTGTTTTTGTTATTAATCTGGCATAAATCAAGCATTGTACATCTCACTGAAGTAAGCATAATTCTAATTTTTTTAAAAATTCTAATTTTTGTACAAATTTCTATTTTGAAGAATTTGCTGAGACTCAGAATAAAGTTGGAAAGTAACTAACTGTTGTTTTGGCCTTCGAACTATCAGCTGACCCACTGGGCAACTCATTTAAAATAGTATAATTTAGGCATAACTTATCGATGTAGTTTATATTAAACTACATTAAACTTCAACTTTATTAGCAACATCTATACTCTGAAGAAAATTGTTTCATATTAAGTACAGTTTTTAGTTGCTTGGAATACTGTACTTTTGGGATATCAAAATTTAGCTCTCATAACAATTTCAGTTTTTAAAGATTGAGTAGTGTATCACTATTACAGAATAAGATATGTTTAGCTTAAAGCCAGTTGTGTTCTTTTCTAAAAATTGTTTTGTTTTTGATTACAGATTTAACTACCCCACTAAAAAAACGAAGACTGTATCAGCTATTGGATTCTGCTTATTCCGAAACCTCTACACCCACTCCTTCTCCATATGCTACACCAACTCACGTGGATATCACTGCTACGGACCCGTCATTATTTGCTACTCCTCCTAGGACAAAATCAGAGGATGAAACTTGTAGGAATGGTTATAAACCCATATATTCACCAGTTACCCCAGTAACTCCTGGTATACAGGGAAATGCTATGCATTTTGAGGTGAGAGAACACAAAAAAAGTTTTGATATTTTGCCTCACATAACTTTGCTTGCTACACAGTGTTTGGGAAAATTGATCTCCAAATATCCTCTAAACTGTAGGAATGCCTTTCTAAAAGATTTAAGTAAAAATAAGCATAATTTTTAGAACAATTTTATCAGTGGGAGTTTTACACCACAAAAGAAAACAGTTAGCTATATACATTTTTTTAATCTGTATATACTTTAGGAAGCATTTTAAATAATGTTATAAAACTCTTATCTTTTTATATTTGTAGCATACTGGAATTTCAATTTGTAAATGTTCGTTTTAAACATCATTTTATTAATTTCTCTACAAACATGGCAACTTTGATTCTGTTCTACACCATTGAATTAGTAGCAATGTAAACTAATGATTTAATAGTAATAATTGTCTATCTGTACTCTTGGAAATGTTAAAACAGAAAACTTTTGCATTTGTATCCTGTTTTAGATTTGACTTCATTACTACTAATCACCATTTTTTTTTATAGAACATTTCCTCCCCAGAAAGTTCACCAGAAATTAAAAGACGAGTTTATAACCAGGAGGTAAATATTTTTAAAATAAGAAGCACTTAGTGGTGTTTACCTTAGATGTATCAATTTCTAAAACTAAAAAATTAAGCCATGGGCTGTGGATGTTGATATCATTTTATTTTTTTTTCTCCTTCAAATAGGGCTATGAAAGAACACCAACTATGTTGACGGTGGGTCCTTTTAGAAACTCTAATTTGACAGAAATGGGCCTGCAAGAAATAAAGACCATTGGGTATTCCAGCCCAAGAAACAGAACTGATATAACCAGGCAGTGCACAGGGGACAAGGAGTCAGTATCAGACCTACAGACTGGAGGTGATGTAGTGGAGCACACTGCCATTCCTAAAACCTTGGAGACCCCCTCACAGGATAGGACTGACTCTAACAGCCAGCTTGAACCTGCTCCCTGTGGAAGAAGCACAGTTTATTCTTCTTGGGTTAAAAGTCCTGAAAGAACAGGTGTGAACTTTTCCTCAGTGAATTCCAATTTAAGGGACTTAACACCTTCCCATCAGCTGGAGGTTGGAGGTGGCTTCCGAGTAAGTGAGCCAAAGTGCCTAGTGCAAGATGATTCCAGAGGAGTGTTCATGGAGACCTCTGTGTTCTGTTCTTCAGAAGATGGACTTCCCCCAGGGTTTGGAAGGACAGTTAACGACACTGCGGTTGAGGGGAGCTGTACACCCCAGAATCCACCACAAAAGAAAAAGGTGAAAGCTTTTTCCATTATCTCTACCTAAATCTCCTGAGCATGTGTGTACTTTAAGAAGCCTTTATATGACCATGAGAGGCTTGGTATCTTTTTATCTTTAAAGCTTACTGGGAATTTAATTTTTTCACATTAAAATTTGCATTGGTATATGAGAAATGGAATAATTAGAACTACTATATGACCAAGGAATATAGTTTTGATAATGAAAATCTTTTTTTTAAGATTTTTAGAAATTTTTTTTAGATTTCAGATCAAGATTAACTTTATAATTCATTTCATCTAAGTAAATAAAAAGAATAAACTCAAACAGGAAAGAATGAAGCAAAAATCATTGTACCATTAGAATGCCTGAACTACAAGGGCCCTTAGAGCTTATTCCTTTCTAAAATTTGATACATAAAGAAGTTGAAACCCAGAGATATTAAATGACTTGCCTTAGGCTCAAAAAGCTAGCCAAAGCACTTTGAACCTACATTTCTTGATTTTCAGAACAGCATCCTTTTTCTGATATCCATTTTCTTTTTCCGTATGGTAATAATTTAGTATGAAAGAGGCAGTATGTTGCAGCAGGAATGAGCATTGGATTAAACATTATCGTATCCCCTAGGATAGTCTCTGTTGTACAACTTAATGTGTGACCTTGAATATCTGCCCTCTTCACAGAGTTGTGTGCATCTCTTACATCTGTTCATAAATAATTGCAAGTGTTGGCCTTAATTTGATCATGTTATTTGACTGGCCAACATCCTGCCTGAGTTAAATTCCAGAGGTGGTCTTCCTACTTGGAAACAAAAGAGGAACTTAAAGCACTTGTATTGCAAATTCTACACGCACTACAACTATATAGATTCTATAGCAAACACTAAAAAGTACATTTTGCAGGAGCATGTAATTTTCCTAATGTGAATGTAGAGACTCTTAGACTAATAATATATTGACTTTGACAAACTAAGCAAAAATGATGTGTTTTTCTTTGTCATCTTAGGTGTCCTTATTAGAATACCGTAAGAGACAGCGGGAAGCTAGGAAAAGTGGCTCCAAAGCTGACAATTTTTCTCTAGTTACTGTGTCACCTCATGCTACTATGGGTGGAAACATGAGCAACAGCAGCAATACAAATGATGGATGTAGCAACAGTGGTGAAAATGGGGAGCAAGTAGACCACACTAGTAGCCTACCTTTACCATTGCCAACTGCTGTTTATAATGCTACTTCAGAAGAAATCAGCAATAACTGCCCAGTAAAAGAAACATCTTCTGGTGAAAAAAATGAACCAGAAGTTCAGTGGTAAGTGGATTGATTGATGGTCTAAGATTTTAAAACTTGAAAAGTACTAAAGTACTAAAAACTACTTAAATGAAGAAGGTAGTAATGCTAATTTAATCTTCAGAGAGATGGCAATCATATAACGATGAGTAGTTTTAAATAGAAATCCTATTTGCATATGGGAGAAATGAGAAATCACACTAGTTAATTGTTTCTTCTTCTAATCAAGTGAGAAATGTGGTTGTGCCCAGCAAAAGAATGTCCAAAATGTGTTGTCTTTTAGATGCTTTTTAAAGGGTCTTGGTTAATCTGAGTTTCAAACCACTTAATTCTGCAAATTTATTGGATGATTTTAATTAAGAGAACATACATGGGCTTTAGAGCCTTAGCATTCTAGTCCACTCCATCTTTTTGCAAATGCCATTAATTTCTTTTGCTGAGTTTTCTGGTTCTGATTATTGTGGGTCACATTTTAAATATTATTTTCTATGAATTTTAGAGACACTTTCAGTTAAGCTAGGTGTTTCTGTACTGTGTGGGAGCTGAAGGCATAAAACTCCATAGACTCCCAGCCTACCCTGAATAAACAAAGCTCTGAACAAATCAGACTCTGGCTGTTTTAGGGAAAAGGATAAAGAAAATTGGTGTTGATTGTAATTCTGCCAGAATGCTTTTCAGCCTATTTTCTTATTTCTCTTGGGCTACCAGCTTACAAATATATAGTAAGGATCTGTTGATTCGGAAGAATGAATCTACATCAAAAAAGCAATTTTTCATCAAGTTATTGCCTAAAGAAAAATATTAGCAGATTTTGTATCAGATTTTATTATGTAATGCCAGATGTTCCAAAGTAAATGAAAGTGAATTCTTCCTCTTTAAGGGATGAAATAGTTTATTTTAAAAAAAAATTTTTAACACAATTTTTTATGTGGATCAAACTCTGTCTTTTAATGCTTGTCTTCTATTTTTTCAGTTCTCTAAATAAAATTTAGTAGACATTACCACAATCTAACTCGGAAAGAAAAACTAACTTATTTGGGAAATAAAAGTAATTATTACATTTTTATAATCAGTTTGCCACTTAAAATCCAGCATGATATTACTATAAAAATCTTAACTTTACATTCTACTAATATATTATCTTGGGAAGCCATGTACTTATTCCACTGTTGTTGGCATTCTATTTGGACACCTACCTTCAGAATCATTGGCCTCTTCTTTTGAGGATCCTCAGTGATGATAAATCTTCGTCCTTATTAAGTAGATTTGATTCTATATAAACAGCCAAAAGTCAGTTGGAGTTGTTGGATAATGTCATTTGGGTGGGAAGAGGGGGTAAAGGGAAGGGATACAGAGTATGACTCAGGTTGATTCTGTGCCAAATTGAGTGCCAAAAGAGAAGCTTCAAAACAGTAGCAAATGTAATTGAAATAGGTCCTACCTCAAGAAACTAATTTGAAGGCATTACATTTTTGGCTTTTTATTTCTGACTAGATTGGTTGGGGCTGGAGCTGCTATAGAATCTGCTTTTGAAATGTAGAGCCTGGAGAAGATGGAGGGAATCTTCAAGAAATTTTTGATCTTGTATTTGATGCGCTTAATAACACAAATTATTGTGGGGTAGTAGAGAGTCTGGATGGGGAAACAAGCACAAGTCATTTGGAGCCAATTGTGCTGACTTCTACCACTTTTTTTGTTTTTGTTTTTTAGAGAGGTGGGGGTTTGTGTGTAAAGTGACTCTAAAGACAAGTGGGTTTAATTGTATAGCTTCATTAATTTTGTTGACAATTCCTAAATATGGATAACATTTCTTAAAAGATTTGTTTTTTCCTTAAGAATATAATCATGTTACATAAGAAATGCTTTTAATTAGAGTTGAAATATTCTGTGAATCTAGGTCCCTGGATTAAATTAAAGATTGCCTAGGTTTCATTCTAAACAAACAATTCTGATATGATTGATTCTAAAACAAACAGCTTTATAAAAACCAGCTAATACAGTAGTTTATAAAAGGAATACTCTCATGATTTTTATTAAGTTATTCATGGTGGCAAAATTGAATTCAACCAAGTATTCCTGGTTTTACTCCTCTTTAAAAATGTCTCCCAAATAATTTTGTTAGTTTCCCATTATTAGGAAGCTTTCTTCTTCATGCATAGGAAATACAAACTGCAGCAAAGATAATAAGTAGATACTAACAATACAAAATTTCTGTGCCCAACCACCATAAAAACTCTCATCATATTCCATTGTTTGTCTGAGGTATGGATACACAACAGAGTGGGCCTAAATATAGAACTGTGTAAAAGCTGAAACAAAATTCTTTCATTCTGGTATTTTAAAGGACTGCTTCAACTTCAGTGGAACAAGTAAGAGAGAGGAGCTATCAGAGAGCTTTACTTCTCAGTGATCATAGGAAAGACAAAGATAGTGGTAAGTTCCTTTGTTCTCCTACCTGGAAGTGAATTCAACTAACCAGTGTATATTATAGTTGATAGCAATTCTAATATTCTATTTGGGTTTGCTTCATCTGTAGGGGGAGAATCACCTTGTATCCCATGCTCACCGAATCATGTTCAGTCTTCACCTTCATCTCATTCAAATCACATTCCCCAGTTGCAACTTAAGGTCCCAGTCCCTTCTTTCAGTGAACTTATAGAAGGTCAGTAAGTGGATGACCTATCAATCACAGTTGTAGTTTTAAACAGCTTTTTAATCACTGAGAAGAAAATCTTTATAAAAGTTGGTCTGAATAGTTGAATGTAAATTCCATTGTAGTGTTTGCAAAAGGACTGTTTATCATGTGATTTTACATTTTACTATGTTTTTTTTTAATTTTACAGACCCTGATCCTGAAAATCCAGAGCCCACAACCACAAATGAATGTCCATCCCCAGACACTTCTCAAAAGACTTGTAAAAGTCCTTCAAAAGTGAGCAAGGTAATAAATAACACAGCACCTTGGAATGTAGCAGTTCAGAAAAAAAAATGAAGTTGATTGGTATGCAGTTGTCTAGATTTGAGCTGTAACCATAATAATCAATTTGTGAACGTTGACCTGCTACCCCTTACATAGTTTGTGTTTCACTTACCTTATTCACCAAATAGTCTTTATTTTCTTTTGAAAACCCGCTCTTTATGATTTACTTTTATTTGTTATGAATATCAGTCAAATCTTCATTAAGTCCTAGTGTAGAATGGAATGCTAACAGTTTAATTTGTCTCCAGAAGTAATTTGACATGATTCTTAGTGTCAGAATGATTTCTCTAAATACCATGATCTCTACTCTATTCCATCATTAAGTGAGGAGGATTTTTGCAAGTAACTAGAATGAGTGCAAAAGTTCTAAGAATAAAGATATATTTCAAATAAAGTAATTTTAAGTTCAGCAGGGAAACTTAACAAATTGGGGGGAGAGTTTTGGCACTTTGTGGCCTCAGAAGTGATTTTCAGTGGTGAAACATTGATATTTTTCCCAGGTAGGACAAGGAAACCAGGTAGAATACATTTCATTAAGTTTTGAGTAATTTACCTTAAATAATCATAGGGTATTTAATAATAATGAACTAATTAACCCATAAACTGTTTCCTAGTTTCAAAAAAAATTTGATTCAGATGTTTTTGGGGGTATAATTTTCTAACTTATCCCCTACAACACCACTCTCTTTTACAAGAAAAGTTCTTGGAATGGGAGTGTAATTAAAGTATGCCCATTGCTTTAAGGTTTATGTGCATTAGAATAGTTACCAGCAATACTACTGACAATACTATTGAATTGGAAAAAATATCAATTCATTTGCATTTAGCTTAAACTTATTATTCAAAGAATTCCTAGGTAAGGTATAATTTAAGGATATCAACAAAATTATGACCATGCAGTATTAGCTTGTTTGTTTGTAAATAACTGTTTAATGGGAGAGGGTTTAGAGAAATTTTTGAAAAATCTAAATCTGAAACCTCCTGAAATTCTATAATTTTAAGTAGTCATAGCAAGTTTATCTATCTCCCAAAACAACAACTCTTGCACAAGTGTTGTATAATTTTCACATTTTACTAAGGCCCCTTCTCTGTTTTTAATATATGTAAAATCAGTTTATAAATGTTATATTGACTCATTCTTTTTTCATGTAGCCTTGTTCACCAGGTCCTACAGTTCCTGCCCAGTCACTTGGAAAGACACCCACAAAACTAGATTCTCAGTGGGAGATGGCAGTTAATACACCCGAGAGTGAGAATGCCAATCCTCAAAAAGCAGAGCTACAACAGAAGCAGCTGTCAAATGTCCAAGCACTTTCAAAGACTCATTCTTCTCAGTCACATGTGCGTAGTTCAGCTGACAACTGTCACAAAAGCTTCCTTCTGCACCTTTGAAGTTGCATTGTCCCCCATCACCTCATGTAGAAAATCCGCCGAAGTCATCTACTCCTCTTACACCTGTACAGCATGGTTATCTTTCACCAAAGCCTCATGCACAGCAGTTAGGATCTCCCTACAGGGCCCACCATTCTCAGTCACCTCAAGTTGGAGCACCTCAGAGAGATTCTCACAGAAATTTTTATCCAGCAGCACAGAGCCTTCAGTCCAATACTCCGCAGCCAGCTACTGGAGCATTATTTACACAGACACCTTCAGGACAATCTTCAGCAACTTACAGTCAATTTAACCAACAAAATTTGAACAGTACTGCACCACCTCCTCCCCCTCCTCCTCCTCCCTCTTCATCATCTTATTATCAAAACCAGCAGCCCTCTGCAAACTTTCAGAGTTATAATCAGTTAAAGGGTAGCCTTTCCCAACAAACTTTGTTTACACCTGGACCAAATCAAGCACTTCCTGGTACCACAAGTCAACAACCAGTTCCAGGACACCATGTAACTTCAGGGCATTTTTTGCCATCTCAGAACTCTACCATTCATCATCAAGCTTCAGCAGCTCCACCCCCTCCCCCACCACCACCTGCTCCAGGACCACATCTTGTACAACAGCCGAGTTCCCATCAGCAGCACTCTGTAGCACATGTAGTAGGGCCTGTTCATGCAGTAGCCCCTGGTTCACATATTCATTCTCAAACTGCTGGGCACCATTTACCACCACCCCCTCCTCCACCAGGCCCTGCACCTCATCACCATCCCCCCCATCCCACCCCAGGACACCAAGGTCTGCAAGCACAACACCAGCATGTAGTAAATACAGCTCCACCCCCGCCCCCACCTCCACCTTCCAGTGTTCTGGCTTCTGGGCATCATGCGTCATCAGCTCAAGCCTTACACCACCCCCCTCATCAAGGACCTCCACTTTTTCCTTCAAGTGCTCATCCAGCTGTACCATCATATCCCTCCCAAGCTACACATCATACACCCCTGGGACCTGGACCCCAACACCAGCCTACTGGAACAGGACCACACTGTCCATTACCAGTCCAAGGTCCTCATCTCCAGCCACAAGGACCAAACAGTATTCCAACACCTACAGCTTCAGGGTTCTGTCCACATCCTGGCTCTGTAACCCTGCCACATGGGGTTCAAGGACCTCAGCAGGCATCTCCAGTGCCTGGACAGATTCCAATTCACAGAGCACAGGTGCCACCAACATTTCAGAACAGTTACCATGGTTCAGGGTGGCATTAACAAGGACTCCTAAGACATTTTTAAAATGTTCTGTAAGATAAACTGTATATTTCATATGTACCTATTCATGGTACTTTTTAAAGCTTGTACATGAAACTTTGTATAAAAACAAACACCAGTGCTCTTTCATTGTATTTTTTCCATTTTTTGCTTTTTAAAATTCCTGAAAAACGTGCTGTTAAACCAGTATTAGGTATCTTTTTTTTGGTAAGTGAACATTCCAGCTGTTTTTCTGGCAGTAGATTTGATGCTGCATAATCTTAAATTTTATTGTTGCAGTTAAATTCATTTAGTGAATGTTTTCTATATTACTTTTTATACGTATGTAATAAGTACACAGCTAAGTGGTGGCACTAACAGGTTTTTCCCCCCATTCTGTCAACAGTTCTGTGTGTGCATCTAGGTAGAAAATGCAATACAGATTTTTATAGTTTGGTGTGGACTTGGCTCTTTTGTTTCATCGGTTATTTGCAGAAAAATGTAATTTAATGTATAGATTGTTTCTAATGTCTTCTGACAAGTTCTGTAAATACTGTATTTCTTTTGCGTGTAAAATTGCTGACAGCTCATTTGATATAGTATTGTACATATGACAAGTCTCTTTTTGCAAAAATGTGTGATCTTTGTGAAAGTAGTACAGTATATGACATTTAAATTTTTTTAATATACTGTCACATTGCAGCACTGGTTGGGCATTTTAATTCATGTTAATAAATCACAATTATGTCAGTTTTACCAAATTGTCCTGTACAACCTTTAAAATAAGTGAACACTACCTCAGATTTTTAGCCAGCAGACAAGGACAGAAAACATTTTCTTTTTGTTTCCCTCCTGTTTATGCAGTAGTAAGAGCCAGAGAAACTACCTGAAATACTCATGTAGGTTTACTCGGTGAAGCATCTTACAAGCATATAAAACTAGATCATTCCATTTTTGCATTTCACATAAGTCATACGTTGGCACAGTTACAAATGGAAAGTTCATACCAGACAGTTTAAGTTATAGTCTGAAACCCCATTAATGTTTACTTGTTTGCACATTTAGTATATAGCTGTTATATTCTAGTCTAAAAGTAGATTTATTATTGCAACATAGGATAGATACCTCTTGGAAGAAAAGTGACTACTGGGCTAGTAGGCAGTCTGTCAAAATTTTCTCAAAATGATTTAGAAACACATCCAACTCTGTTGTAAAGATAAAGTTATTTAAAAATGGAATTATATGAGAAGTATGACTGATACCTTCCGTTATCAATTTTCAATTCCTTGGTTGCTGAAAAATATAAAAAATAATTGGTATTTCTGAAGAGAAAATTTTATAAGTGGCCATATATTTCATTCTATGGAAGAGATAAAAAGGTGATAGCATTGGGATATGACATATAGCTATTGTTATTCTACCCATTTGGTGTAATGGCAGTTTTTTTCTTCTTCTCCTAAATGACCCTTTATTTAATTTTTTAACCTTAGTTTGTCATTGGAGAAAAACCTTTTCAAAATAAAGGTAAGCAAACATCTAAAAAATCTACATGTTAGATTTGGCAATATTACTTTTAACTTCTGAGTCATTTTCTGCCATATTCTGCGCCTCTTAATATGAAAAGGTAATCACTGGCTATAACTATAACAAGTTATAGTAGTACTTCCATTTTTAAAATTCCTTTTGTAGTAGCGTAGTCAATAATGGTGGGTTGCAATGATGTAATCTTTTGAGGCTTAGACCAATTTTGTGATCTGGAGACAGGATGTGAGTGAAATTTTAGCCTCTGGATAACTTGGAGTAAAGTTCTGGATTATGGTCTAGCTACTAGACAAACACCTTGTCTTGGGAATACTCCTTAGGTCAACAAGTGATTCTCAAACATGGAACATAAATCACTGACTTAATGAGATAGGTATATACATACACACACACACACATGCATATGCATGTGTGTATGTGTGTGTGTGTGTGTGTGTGTGTGTGTATATATGTACTTTAGCTTGTAATGTTTCATAAGCAAAAAGTCTTGATTCTGTTATCTTTTATTCTAATAAAACAGGCAAGTGCAGTTACACCACAATACTCTCCACCCCAAAATTAGATCTTTAATAACAGGTAGAAACTAGATACTACCAAAATTATACATTTTTTTTCAAAGAAAAAAACAGCCTTAGAACCTACAGTCAAAAAACTAAATTGAGGGCCTAGTCAATTTTTCTAATGTACAAAAATCTTCTAGTATATTACTATTTCAGAAAAGAGCACAATGAATGTTAGCTTAATGTACTGAGTTATACAGAGCAAGACTAAAATCCCCACTGTTGCCCCACATCAGCAATTGGAAAAAAAAAATTAAAGACCCAAGAGGCAACAGTATAGGGAAAAGAGTGCTGGTTCTGGAGGCAGGTCCGGATTAAAATCTCAGTTCTCCCATTTCACCATTGTGATGTTGGGCAACTTCTCTCACATCTAGTTTCCTCAGCTGTAAAATGAGGGAATTAAACTAGATGGCTTCTAAGATCTCTTCCACTTTCTACGATCCTATTCTGACCATGTATCATCTTGCATGTGTTTAGTACTAAAGTCCAACAGGCCAAAAAAAAAATTCTAGAGTTAAAAAACATTTCTCTTAACAGGTTACAAATTGCTTTCAATGCTTCAAATCTCTACAAGGAGGAAGTCTCTTTATATGCTATTTATCATTATTTACTAGGCTTCACATGGAGAGAAGAAAAGGGAATGAGAGATCAAATTAGGGTCAGTGAGTAGGTAGTTACACCTGTGGTTTTAGACCTTAAAGAGATCATTAGAGGTCATCTAATTCAATGCTCCATTTCAGAGATGAAGAAAGACCATGAGAAGTTGTGACTTACCCAGTGGCACATACAAAAAGTCTGTATCAGAGCCATTATTTGAATTCAGGTTCTAATTCCCAGTCAAACATGCTTTCTACTATATGTCAGTGATCAACAGTTTGCTGTACTGTCTTACAATGAATCATATTCTAGGACATTTCCACTAACTTAAGAAACCTGGGCAAGTCAAGAGATTTGGGTTGTAGTCTGACCTTATTAACCATGAGCAAGAAAACATAAAATTAGGCCATTAAGACTAAATCATCTCTATCTAGTTTTGAAAGCCTAAACAACTCATGTAGTTTACTTTCCTTTATGTTTTTGTTTTAAGGCTGGCAGTGATCTCAGAGTATCAGCTAATGCCCAACATCTTGAACCTAAATCAATTCTATTCAAAATGTTAGCTTTTCAAAATTCTTACATTACATCTGTATCCCTCTTGATGCAATTTAAGCCTGCCCTCTTTATCTATTCAAAGAAAGTTCTAAGACATGATGAGCAAGAAGCATCACTGATTAAAACCCTATTGGAAGACTACTCACTTTTGGCTTCGGGAACCCTATTCCCTTTAGAATGCACCTCAATTTCCACATTCCTATTCTACTCTTAAAAATAACTGATTTCTGGTTCTTTAACCGTACCACCTAAGTTAGGCAACTAGGGTTCCAACACCTTAACATTCAATTCATTGAGTTTTGTTATATATAATGCTAAAATCATGTAATAGTAAATAACTAAAAAATGTTAGTATATAGTTATGTCAAACATAGTCCAATGACCAGCACAATGTCTGAAAAAAAAAACCAAAACACTTTAATTAATTAGACAACTGCAAGCACCTCAAACAATAGGTTATTGTTACAACACTTGGGTATCTTTTCACAATCTAGTTATTGCAAAGGCATGTGAATAAATTTAAATGGACAAAGTCAAGAAAAAGTGGCACCATAATGTGGAAAACTGGAAAAAAAAATTACATTCATCCCACTGACTTCTAAAAGAGGTAAAATACCTCTGTATATTAACATTCTAAAATCTGTATTGCCTACTATGGTTGTGTCCTGGATTCTACACGCATAAACCAAACTGCAACTTGCAAAAGGGAAATCATTTTCTTTGTACTTGAGTCATGGAAAGACAAAAATACTAGTGCAATTTGTTGTTAGAAACATGTAAAGCTACATGAAGAATGAACAGTGATCTCTGACCTCTGAAACTTGGTGGGGTTCCCTTGCATTGCAAATTGTACACTATATCCCTTGCTTTTTTAGGCATAGAATACCCTTTCTCAAACATAATTTTCATTGCACGTATAGAAATGTTTCCTTTGCTCAATTTAACCTGCATATAGTTCAACTCAGTGCTTGTAGTCAGAAATAAATACCACATTGTAGCATGTTATCACATTATAAGGGAAATTGCTATTTTTCCTTAAAAGCACTTCAAAGAAAAAAGATGCAAAATGTCCAATGGGAGTGCAAGTGTGCAATCCATGTTTTAGAATGAGAAGTAAGTCTTGCCTTCTGTTAAAGTGCCATATGGGTAAAGAAATTTTGTAAATGAGAGCTGCTTTGTTTAAAATCCAATGTAAAAAGAATTGCTATGGAATTAGAAGTTCATATAACTTCAAAGCAGCTGATGTATGCTACATGCAACTTAAAGGCTACAAATCACTCAAAACTTAGTAGCTTTACTCTGAAATTGGAGTCCCATCCCAAATTTAATGGAAAGAAACATTTACAGGTTACATTTACATATACTATAATACAAGAATGATATCCCTTTGCCAGCAGATAAAATTACATTTCCTTGCCATGTCTTTCTTGATTCCAACTTGATAATTTCTTAAGCGTGTAAATTATAGAATACTCAGCTAAAAGAGTTCTTCATAAATAGTTACAAAACCTGCCGAAACACAAAGAGGGGGAAAGTATTTTTCGTTCAAGAAAATGATATTTGGATGCCACACAACACAAGAAACAATGTTTAGAGACAAGGTATTAAGTGTTTCCAGAAGAGAGTGGGTCAGTAAACTACTTAGCTGAAGACAAAAGACTACCCTTCCCCAGGACCACAGTGCACAAAAAGCAAAATGTCAAACAACAGTACCTCAAAGCAAAATAAAGGTCTGAGAATGAAGCCAGCTCACTTGTAATCCTGTTAAAGAATTTGAGAGTCACCATTTAGGTCCGATGTACTGGAAAATATTTGCTAGCTCAGAATGTTATATTTGCAGATTCTGCTAAGAATTCAACCAAGGATGCCTAAGGCATTCTCCAGCTGAAGCTCTTTTTTCTGGAACCATTTCTAACATCGGAATCAGGAAATCTGTAAACTGTGCAGCATCTTCATGAGGCCAACCATATTTCTCCACAAGCACATCAAAGAGGCTCCAGGGCTTCAGCTTCGTGATATGCCGTAGTTCTCCTACATGCACACAAAAGAGTCACATGTTAGAACGCTGACATCATTTGTGTTCTCTTTTTGGACCAGTAAGCCACCTTTCCAATGTAACCTATTCATCAATATTTAGAATAATAAGCTTTCTAGAACAAATCAGTCAGGTGACAAATCACTACCACATTTAACAGTCTCACAGCAAATCCGGAATTACACGACAGCAGATTCACTGATCCAGTTTGAAGAGGTCTCTCATTACAGAATTCTTTGAAAAAAAACTAGGTACTTTTAATGCACTTAAAATAATGCACTTAAAATATTTCTATGTATCTTTTTCAAAAGCACACTCTAGAAGGTGAGGTACACTCACTTTCCTAAAAGTTCTGAAAGAGAAGTCTTTCCTATGGAATGAATACTCACATGAGAATGAAAGTTCACAGTATAATGTGTTTTTGAGGTGTAATAAAAATGCAACCGTATCTTACTATGGTATTTTTC